GAGTTGTTTTTCATTCGATAACCAAACTATCTGCTGAGATTTTATGCCACTGGTAGTTTTTTGTATTGTATCAGTCGTCTCTGAATTTTTACAACGCAATGACAAATTGATCTTGTTTACTTTGCTATCTCATGTTTTAAACCAGACATGGAGGTGTAGAGCAGAACTGGAACAATTAGTCGATGAATCTGTTGGTTGATCGACAGAGGATTAATCTGTAGCTGTTTTGATGATCGATTAAACCTTTTAAAATAATTAGTAGAACATTTAATGGTTCTCCTATGTGCAGATTTACTGCCTTAAATTGAATATGTTAGTTGAACAGCTCGGGGAAATTATGTTAATTTTTTAAAATGAAAAAAAAAATTTAAATAATTAATAAATTAGTTGCTTCCCTCTATTGTACTATGAGTTCAGTTTTACAGTATAGCTAGGAAGCAATCCAGTCAAATGTGTTTAGAACTCATGATACATTTTAGAAGGTCAGAAGGTAAAGTACTGCAGACTCCCATTTAAATAAACACAGGCCATGTGTTTATACAGCGATCTGATCTCATAAGAGCCGATCTTTCAAACGAAATCTCAAAACATGCATTGAAATGTCAAGTGTTGCTGTAGCCTCTGACTTACTCTTGGCCAGGAGGATGAGTCAGAGAAGGGAATATTATCACAGGGAGTTAGAAACAAGGGCAAACCGTCTCAAACTTCGCCGAGTGAGAACATAAGAGCAGTTGTGAAGTCTCTCACGGGGGACGTCACAAGGTTGCACCGATTCCGGCTTCCAGTGATGGTCTCAGTGTTGCTTCACACGCGGGGTTGTTCCTGTCATCCGGTCATCTCATACGCTTGAAAATGCTTCAGATCTGTAACCTGATTTCACACATCTTGCGAGCGCTGCTTTCTGTTGGGATTCCTGAAGTGTGCTGCAAGATAAATCAGGTGCAGTAGCTTAAGTTTGAAACAATTTTCAAGGATCATTTAGCACATGTTTCACACTGGATTTTCCTCCACCTCCTTTAATGAACCCCAAACCACACAACAACGTTTGCCCTATTGAATTTATTATATAACAGAGTATACGTTAGTCTACAGGCAGAGAGAACCACTTACCTCTGTGCCCAAACATAAAATGATACACCAGGTTTGTCTGTGCCAAGTGACCTACTGTATTGTACAAAAGTCATTTTTAAATGTTAATAATTGGCTTTTTATTATGCAAATGGCCTGGGGTTTCACTCATACGAATATTCACATCTGCTCTACAATACTGCCCTCCTTCTGAATACACAAAAAGCAACAACTTACTCTACGCAGTTCGGTATTTCTTGAGTTTTACATTCAGTAGGCTATGTCTTTAAAATTTGGGAATTATTGGGGTAAAATTCTTCAACTCGGTCCAGGATGAGGGTATGTACTCTATAGCATCAACTGCCTACACCAACCTGCTTACTGATTCAATCATTGACAGATCTGGCTCCCAAGAATAGGGTCTGATAATCACTCTGTGGTAGCCGAACTAGCCACCGTAGAAGTTTTCTGTCACATTTTGTAGCCGTTATTTACATGACAAAACTGTACAACAAAGTATGCATAAAAAGAAAGCTTCTATGATGGCTACACTGCTGGCTTTGCGCTCTTTTATGTATTGAGTAACAGATAAACACTGCCACCTGCTGTTCAAAAAAAACTTTTTTTTTTTTTTAATGGTAATAATTTATGGTGTTTATAACTAACATCATAAATAGTTACAATCCAACCACAAAGCCAGTTTCTTTTTCATAAATGTGAAACCCTGTAATGTCAAGATTAAACATTTTTCCTTTTGTTTGGTTTAACAAGGTACCAGCATCATTTTGTGGGTTATTCTCCAGGTACAGTACATTATGTATTATCGAGAATGTCAAATGTGAAATGCCATTAATGTATATTGTTATATATCCTGAGTATGTAACACGCACTAAGGCAATTGTGAATTGCTGCATTTTACTGTCTTAACTGGCCTACTATATAGATAGGACATTGTTTGATATTGGATCTAGTGAGTTGAAAT